GTTGTAGTACCGCCACGGCGTCGGATGAGAACCCTACTGTACTTACTTAGTAATGGTAATCAGTTTTGTACATGATTGTTAGATTTCAAAATTGAAACGTTAAACTACAAATAATTAAGGTTACCTTAACGTTAAATACGGCAATGAATGCATGCTATGATCGGATTATGTCAGACAGTGGAAAGATCATAACGAGTGATCCCGACGTGAACGTCCTTCTTCAAGATAGAGAGAAAGTAATTTGTTGCAATAAGACGGCCGCATATTGTCGTTGAAGACTTCGGAGCTCGGTTTCAGACGAAAACTTCCATCCTCGAGACGATCATTTTATGCCCAGAATTCAATCCTGTTGTGTGGGGAGGTGAAAAAGCTTTTCAACGTGTAGGTACGAATCTAGTATTATAGCTGTTTGCCCAAATCTTCAGCATGACTGTTGCCGAAAAGCACAAAAATAGTTGGCTGACAACAAATGACGAGCTGCCTGCCATGACCCTTCTGCCATACTTTCACTGTTTTTTGACAGTGCGTACTTGGAGACTCGTTCAACGATTGCCTAAGAGAAGCATTTGGTGCTGTTCGGCGACGGGGGAGGGGGAGGCATTTTGCACTTTCGCAGCTTCAGTATTTCCGGTTTACAAGTCTCACTCTGGTGAAACTTGTGAACTTTGCGTAAGCTGGAGCAAGCTCGTCCAGCCACCATGATAAAACTTGTCCTCCTTTGTCACGCTCTCTCGATGGCTCGTTGACACAGTCGTTGAGAAGTGGCAAAAAAGCGAAATGCCCCCTCCCTGTCGCCGAACTGCACCGGAGCATCTTTTTCATGTGAAAGGTGACCAGGCACGATATAGCGTGCAACATTTTCGCCACTCGAAATTGCGTGGCAAGAACTAGGGTTTGGCGAATAATTGCTATTTCCGAACATATCAGGTACTCTCCTCATCATTACGGACTGTCGGGGCGTATCAGCCAGTAGGAGTGCGCACACTGTTTGAAGCCGTTCTCAGCCTTTTCGTTGAAACGCGTATGCGACAAAAAGTGGTAGAAAACGAGTAATACGAAGGATATAATGCTGTCATGTCATTTGCTCGCTTCAACAACTGGTGCAGAAAGACTTTGGCACCGCGGAAAACGCAGCCGCACTGACCCGCCCCGACAGTCCGTAATGATGAGGATAAATGTACAAATAACTACGGGACACTTCTGTCGCTTTCGTGGTGTTGATGTGCGTTCAGAATACGGCTGTCGGCCGTGCACCAAGTACAAACGTCATCCGGGCAGTTGATTAGGCGGTCGTAGAAGGGTCGCAGACGCGGCTGCAGCAGCGACCGCGCACGGCGACCAGTTGTTTCCGGCCTGTTTTAGTCATTTTCTCCTTACTTCACTGTTTTTGGTTGCTTATTTCGAGGTTAGCTGTGCCTTGTCTTCATAAGGTAAGTTGTGATTGATTCCTCTAATTATTGCGAACAACTGGACAACTAAACAAGCACTTAAACAAATACCAAAAAAATCGCATCACAAAAAAAAGAATCCACGGGCGCTGTTTGTCGACGGGGGGGCATTTTGTATTATCATTGCTTCCCTAGTTCCGGTTTACAAAGCTCACTCTGGTAAAACTTGTGAACTCTTGTGAAGCTGAAGTAAGATTGTCTAGCCACTATCCTGAAACGTGTCAACTCGAGAAACGGCTACCTAGATGGGTCGACACATCTATGGAAAGCAAAATGCCCCCTCGTCGACAAACAGCGCCGAATCGTCCCAATACTTCATGAAGACAATAACGCAACTTACCTTGGAAAACAATAGAAAAAATACAGTTGAAAATTAGGGGGAAACGGCTAAACCAGGATGGAAACTGTTACCGCCGCCAACAGTTCCTACGTGACGCGCCGCAGCCGCGTCTGCAACCATTTGACCGCCTGTTCATTTGCTCGGATGGACTGTATTTCCTCACCTATCGCTTCTCCACATGCACATGATCCTGAACGCAAAGTCAGTGCGAAAATGAGTGCTTCATTCGAACCGTTTTTTGCGGCTTCAGTTGCTTTTTCCTCTATTAGAGCAAGTATAAATGTACACTTGGTCCTTACCTAACGATTTCCAGTCGTAGACTGTGTCATCAAGGGCACAGTAAGCAGTGATCCAGTGGGCAGAGACGGTCGCCTTGACCGATTCAGCTTGAGGGAAACCCCACTGAGGGAGGAACAATAGCTGACATGCTGCCTTCTCCCATACGATGAGAATCAACTGCAGATTCAATTGAGTTAGCACATGTAACCGAGGCCCTTTAGAAACGCTATCGCAAAGATTGCTTGTCAAAAGGGGGTAGCTCGAATCCGATAGGATGCCGACTTTGTTATTCGATGCAGCTGATGCCCCTGTCTCTAGGACATGTCTTTTTCCCCCAGTAATATCGAAGCTCAATAACATATATCCTATGTCGGAAACAGCCCTTATTCGGAGGCCTGAGCTTACACACTACAAAGGAAATACCTTTTCGTGAAGATGTATCTTTCAGGGGAAGATGGAAAACTTGCAGATGTGAGTGCACTTATTATGTTTGTATGTGCCAGTTTGTCCCCTTGGTCTTTTTACTGATTGTTGAAATCCAAATTTTTTTTGTTCCAAATGGGATTCCCGTATTTTGAAGCCTCTTCCCTGATCTGCCAACCTTCAACATGCAGTCCACCTTTTGTTTTTGGAGGTCGAGTGTCCGTGGACGTGGATCCGAGACCAGGGTTCATCGTCTTTTGGGGATTCACCAACAGGAGGAGGGGTTTGGACGGTGGGAGAGGGAGTAGCAGTTGGGCTAAGAAACATCTTTTGATAAGTGATTTTTCTCGTTTCAGGGAAATTGTAGAGGGGGGTCGTATTTGTTCATTGTTGGAAGGGGAGGGGGCTGTAAACATTTTCCCACTGATCTGAGAAAAGTTGCTGATGAGTTTTCGTGTTTTTAATGTGTTTCATGTGCAATACATCCCCCTACGCTCGATAGCAAACTTCTGGAGTGAAAGTAAGAAAATGTTCGGGAATTTCTGGAAACAAGTGCTGGGAAGATTGGGAGAATCAGCGAAATGATAGAGAGGGAGTCGTAGCCTCGCGGGCTTCTCCCGTTTCACATGTGCTCACCTCCCCTCCCCGCCCGCCCTCGACAGTCGGTTAGAGAAATGAACAAGAGAGTAGGAAGTTGGGGAGAATCTGAGACGGGGGGTCGTGCCAACCCCCTAAAAAGTAGGCGGGTCGTTACTCGACCAAAATCCCCAACCAATGGTGTGCCCTGTGTGAGACGGTGGGAAGCTGTCAGGCACATATGTATGTAGATAGCTTGTGCCAAGGACCGTCGCTTATCCCTTTCTGCCCGAGCCCGCAGGTGTCTATCGCTTCCGCTTTCCCAAGTCCTGGACAGTGTCAAATAGGACTGCTAAATAAAAAAAATGAAAAAATAAAACTCCACATATCTCTTATATGCGGGATGATCAACCAAAACGTTCATCTTGATTTTTCAGGTGAATCCTTCATTAGGAATAAAAAGCAAGGAGTTGACAGCAAGTGCCGAAAAAGGAGAGCGGGTTGTCATCTTAGAAGATACAATTCTAGACGAGGTGAGAAGCTATTAAGCAGTTGACCTGGAAATCAACTTTCAGATTATGATAATTATGGCTATTACGGTCGGTACTGTCGTCGGATGAGAGTGATAGACCTTTGCCAGAAGAGGTGGCCATTTGTGATGAAAGTCAAAATGAGGGGCAATTATATAGCCAATCTTAGGTCCACCCTTCGAATCTGCCGAGAGTTTCTCTAAACGAAGTCGTGAGGCTTCTCATGGCGTTATTTTGCTAAAAGTAGGGCGTGTCAGGGCTTGCCAAGAATCACACAAACTTGGGACACATGTTATAGGACTATTTGAAAACAAAAGCTCAACAGCGGCTGAGACACGGAGAGCGCAGACGATCAGAGTGCGCGAGCCCCCCCCCCTCTACGTTAATACTTTAGCGAGAGAGAGACTGGTCTTTTATCGGAGGGTAGTTTTGCGCTTACTTGAAAATTTTTTAGAAATCCAAGCGAAACTTTCATGATCCTTAACCAAATCTGCATCTAAAATTTGAACAGATACTTACTGAATGATCAAAGTACGAGCTCATGGTGAATGAGAAACATTTTCAGTTCCAAGAACAACGAGCGAAGTTCAGTATTCGTAAGGATGCCGATCCTCCACCAATCGAAGTAACCGATGACGGCAAGACCGGTGCTGAAAAAGGACAGCAGGTGATGCCTAAATTTGTCACTTTCGTGCCCATGTTGGTTGGCTTTTCTTTGGTTTGCGCATGAGTCTTAATACTCATCATGACAAATGTTCTTTCCTTAATGTTCTTTCTTGTATGGCTGGCATGAATTGAGGGAGAAACAGCCTTCCGACGCGGAACTCATTCCTAGCACTGGATTCGATTCCATTCACTGCAGTTGATATTGTTGCAATCCGGTGGAACGGCATCGGGAGCCGTGCAGTGAGCCACCCCAGGGCGTTTTGTACACTGGCTGTTTTCTTTCAACCAGGATCCGCTATATATTGTACCGGAACGGAAGCTCGGTCATCCGATGGTGCCTTATCTTGTCATTAGAGGACGGCTAGCATCAGCAGTATCGCAAAGACAGTCCATTGAGCTGGCTCACATCTATGCTCGCGGATGTGGTCGAATCTGCAACTGGAGAAGCTTCGACAGGTTCTCGTTTCGAGAATGGAGTGAACAACGCCGGGAGCACGAGATACACGCCTTCCACGCTAGTTCAGCAAAGGGCAGCTAACTCAGGCGAATTCGAGATAATAAGGGTCCACTTCGTTGAATCGCCTCATCGTTGTATGGTTCTATTCGCTAGACCCGTAAAATACCCAAATCGGAAGTAGAAAGGAGAGTCCTATCCATGACTTTCGTCTTTGACAGCCTCTCTTGACCTTTTTGGCGGCTCGCTCGAAAGTTCCAATCTGTTATTTCAATTGCACTACTCATTCTCTTGACGGGCATGCAGGCCAATAGGTTACCGTCTGCGTGTCTTAACGACCAATCCAGTATAAATTACACTATTGTCGTATAAAGCGTTTATTCAGGTATTTCAATCAAATATCAATCAAAAATCGAATGAGCGAGAATGTCATGTGTCGCAGAGTAAGGTGAACTGGTTGTTTGTCAGCTGACTGTAGTCATAGATTCATGTGTTGCTACTTTCTGGCAACGGCAACACCTTCAAAGCACATTCTTAGATAGCCGGTTGGGCGAAGATATTCCTTGGTTGCGCTTTCCTCGAGGTCGCGGCACTGCTTGTATGGGAAACAGGGGCATATCAATGAGAAATACAAGATTGCAAGAAGTTCTCCCCATTCTCTGACCAACCGGCTACCGTGCAATTAGCGTTCAATATTAAACCGTCGCAAACAGAAGCATGATTCAGGTCGTAGAAAAAGGCAGAGGGCAGGCAGGGTCAAGAGATGACAACATTCAAGATAAATCTTGTGATAGAAAATCGAAGGATGAGCGCCGCATTACTTCGCAGAACAGATCGTATGGTAAAGAGACGACAAAGGATCGTGGCAGTGCTATACTTGATAGATCACAGGTAGAAAAAAGGATCAGAGCAGTGTCTTGGATAAGTCAAGTGACAGAAAATCGAAGCACGACCGTAGTGCCGCAAAGTCGAAATCCAAACATAAACCTAAGGTAAAGTTTTTGCAGGACTCATTGAATTTTATTTACAGAAGTCTTCAGTCTGATGTTGTGTCCACAATCAGGGTGTTGAAACGATTTTATTAGGCTAATTTTTCGGTTAGTGGCCTTCGTCAGAGTCTGGAAAGTTGAATATCAGTTCGACTCTATCCTCACATCATTTCAAACTTGAAGGCAATGCCCACGATCAGATGTTATGGCGATCAGGTGTAGTGGTGCTCAAATAGCATGTCATAGGTCAAAAAAGTTCATGGCAGAAAAAAACGAGCAGAAAAAATTTTGCATACGCCTCTATTTTATAAACAGTAACTTTGTGTGCGGTGTGGTGTGTGTGGGTTTGTATGTTTGTATGCATGTATGTCCGTCCGCAATTTCGCAGCCAGGCCACATATTCGTTTGGGGATTCTGGATTTTGGCCAAGTCCGCACGACCTCCTACTTTTTAGGGGTCGGCACGACACTCCCCTGGTTCCCTCCTCACCGAGCTTGTTGAACGGAGGGGGGGAGGAGGAGGGGGTAAATAGCACACTACATGTGAGACGGGGAAAACCGCAAGGAAAATACGACACCCATTTCTACCACTTCTTGGATTTTTCTGAACTTCCTACCACTTTTTCCGGAAGTTCCCGAGACGTTTCCTACTTTCACAAAGAAATCTTGCTGTCGAGCAGGTTAGGGGTATATACACGTGCAACAGAGAAAATCGCGAAAAGTCTGCATTCTCTTTCAATAATTTTTTCTCAAGGGAAATACGACCCCTGCCCCTCCCAACAACGAGCAAGACGCCCCCTTTACACGTCCCTGAAAACAACAAAAATCAACCATCAAAAATTTTTTTTCTCAGCCAAATACCTCCTCCTCTAGTGATCAAATACGACCCTTCCCTGTTGGAGAATCCCCAACAACGATGTGCTCTATTCATAGCGCGGGACGCGGCAATAGTAGGAAGTCAGTTCCAACAGGTAATGCGGGCAGTGGGACGGAAATACTATAGGTAGGTGATAGGCCTATCAACTCGATAAGATCCGGTAAGAGGTTGTAGTAGAGGAAAGTCGTCAAATGCATAGGGCGGGTCGCAGAAGCAGTAGGAAGTCATTTCTAACATGTGATGTATGCTGTGAGGCTGGGACACTAATGGTGGCTGACAGATAGAGAAAACAGTTGACAGGGTCCAATAACGAACACTGGCGCCATCGTTTCTATGCGGGTATGTCGGAGTACTAGTAAGTACTAAGTAGAGTAGACTTTCGAGTTTAAACTGCCGCCTCTGTAGTACTACAGTTGAGCGCTCACCGGACGGTGGGGCGTTCCCTACGACCACGCTGGCGAGCGTTCCGGTGATTGCGTGTCGATGGGAAGCCGAAAACTTTCAGGAGATTATCATCATTGCCTCTCCGTCTCTTACTCTGCACTCTGCGCTCTAACACACGCCGCCGCACCGTCTACCCACTCTTCCGCTCTGGACTCTTACCGATCGATAATTGCTGACGCTCTTGATCAGCTGATTCCTGCCGCATTTTCGCAGTATTTTTGCTAGCCTCAGTTTGTTAAAGCTGGAATTTTTCGACTCTTCACTTCAATGTTCGAAGGTGAGTATGATTACTGAAACTGTTCCACATTTTGCATGAATTTAGCATGAAATTCCCCTAGGAAACTTGTTTTTCTTTCGATTTTCGCAATTTCTCCAAACTTTTCCTTAATATCCCCATTTCTTTTATGTTACTGTCCGAGTTTTCAACGCAGTGTCTCAGATGTGATCTCGTTATTATTGAGAACCATCTCTGACTCTGTTCTGAAGCTCGAAGTCGCCTTGATGGCCCGCTTTTCCCATGATTTCCTTGAAACTGTGTGTCCGGGTATTCTTTTCTTTTCATTTTGGACTCTATCCTCAACTCTTGCTTCGCTATCTTCATTGTTGAAAATTGAGATCGAAACCAGATAAGTTTCAGCTTTTACAAGCTGATTCTAGCAAAAATACTGCGAAAATGCGGCAGGAATCAGCTGATCGAGAGCAATTATCGATCGGTAAGAGCCCAGAGCGGAAGAGTGGGTAGACGGTGCGGCGGCGTGTGTTAGAGCGCAGAGTGCAGAGTAAGAGACGCAGAGGCAAGGTTTTTGCGGCCTTCCACCACAGGCAATTATCGGGCCGCTCGCCAGCGTGGCCTTAGGACCGCCCCACCGTCCGCTGAGAAGTGCACTGTAAAGTATTACAGGAAACAGCTCAGTGCTTAATGCTAAGTGATTCCCTTATCCCCTCCTGATAGATGGAGTCAGTGTCGTCTGTTATCGTGGGTGATGTAAGATGTAGAACGGGGCGGCACACTATGAGCCCCAAACGGGAAAATCAACACGTTTCATAGGGGCAGTACACCGCTGCGCTGTCTTAGATAAGGAAAATTTGTTAGGAAAGGTTCGTCGCAAACAATAAAGCCTGAGTGGGGAGGATACGCTGCCCATAGTGAGATCCAAGCTTCCCATGTGATGCACTGCAGCGGTCAGTCTTGAATGGTACATCTTTCTGAGAAGATCACTATTGTCTGACAGTAATTAGCTCAAAGCATTCGATGTGTGTAAGTGATGAGTGATACGAAGCTGCTTACAACATTCTATCTTCACTCGTTGGAGATCGCCCTATCTCTTTACTCAACACATTTTCACTTTCTAACTCGCCCAAAAATGAGCGCATAGCGAAATCAGCCCACAAGGTGGAGGAGCGCTCGGCGTCAGCTTGGCGTTCCGAACCCCTAGCAGGCGCAATTGTTCGAGCAGACCACGATAAAAGGATGTGATTGGACGAGATCACCAGGGAGTGGTGGGGAATGTCATTTTAGTTAGGTAGACCTCACTTAGCACCTCCCCATATTCGCCTGTGGGGAGAGCGCGTGAGGTCGCCTATGAGGTGACCTCGCTTAATTGGCTGCATTGGATGCTGCCCTCCACCAACCTTCTCAATTTAATGGATAATTTGAGATCCATTTTTTAATTTTACTTTACTAGTGCGTTCTGTACCGTTTCATGGAGAATTGTGGGTCCTGTAATACAAGGTGCTTGGTGTCTAGAGGATTCAATTCTCGTAATTTTCAAGTGATTGAAATGGCTTGATAAATTTGCAAAGGTGAGCATTTTTGCCGTTCTGCAGAAAAGTGTATGGCCAAGACACAATGTCTTTCAGGATGGCTAGAAATTCCTTAAGCGTTCAAAGATTCCTATTTTGACGTTGTAGACACGCTTCACACCGTGCGCCATTTTAAGTTTAAATGGGAGTTTTCGGTTCAACTTATTCACGAACACCTACGACGGATAATGATGAGCTACTTGGGGTCATGGCTTGCTCCAGCGTCCGCCATCCTCATTTGATGGAAGAGGTTCAAAACCTGGTGCTCGGGTTTCACATCCAGTCACTGCTCACTGAACCACAGAAGGCATCCGTGCAAAGCATACTGAAGAGATTTCCAGCGCTGAATCGTTTGGACGGATCTAAAGATGCTCTACGAAATGGAGCTCCTCGATCATGCATTTCACAACTTTTAAGCTGCTTCCACTGTTCAAGTACATCGATTAAGCGCAAGAAGGTAAAACTGCGAATGCTCAT